TCTCCACAGACGCTGCCAGACCTGCTGAGTTTTCACAGCAATTTCTGTTTTTGTGTCTTATTGAGTAGTTAGTCTTGATGATATATTTAATTTCATGTAGAACACACAATGAAGGAAGACAGCTCCACTGATCATTTCTTAACATTGCACATTATGGACTCATTCAACATTGTGACCATTTTGGGCCATCACTGAAATAAATTAAAAACTGAAAGAACTGTAGATGCTGTAAATCAAGAACAAAAACAAAGTTGCTGGAAAAGCTCAGCAGGTCTAGCAGCATCTGTGAAGGAGAAAACAGAGTTAATGTTTCGGGTCCGGTGACCCTTCCTCAGAACTGATGGTGGCTGGGAAAACGTCAGTTTATATGCAGAAAATAGGGAGGTGGGTGGGTAGGGAGTAAACAATAGGATAGAGCCCAAAGAGAGAGAAAGACAGTTGGACAGACAAAGGAGTTGCTAACGATCAGGCTGGGAGGGTGAGTAGTTGTTAGTGGGGACTGTTAGTGACTAACAACAGGGGGTGTGTAGTGGCAGGCTATGTGGTAACAAGGCCTGGTGTGTGGGGTAGGGGGCTGGGACATGGGAGAGTTTAGGCCCTAAAATTATTGAACTCAATATTGAGTCCGGAGGGCTGTAGGGTCCCCAAGTAGAAAATGAGGTGTTGCTCCTCCAGCTTGCGTTGGGCTTCACTGGAACACTGAAATAAAGTAGTCTACTTTGTTTTCAGGCATATATCCATCACAGAGCAACCTATTTAAGTAAATCTTAAATTAAAAGCATGTACAATGATATTAAGCTCTTTTGCTTGCTAAGTAAGGTGACATTAACATGAGCACAACTATATTTTTGACATCTGAATACTGACTGTGGGTGCTAACACCCACTTGTAACCTGAGCTTGTTTACTTAATCTCATACAGCCGCAGTTGAAAATCTGATTCCAAATATAATCAAATAAAACTTGGATGGATACTTGCTAAGATAGATCAAAAATGCTTATCAAAACAAGTCACAAAAGCAAGCATTGGTATGTGTTAGTTAGATGCAAATGGGTTTCCAACTGTTTTTGAGCGTTGACTATGCAATATCGAGATCTCATTGATTCTTCTGATCCGCTGGTGCATTCATGGCAAAAGTAACAAAAAGTAACTGTGTGGGTTAAGCATCAACAAACTGTCAAATGCAATATTTCTTGAATTTCCTCTTCCACCCCACCTAAAATACTATAGATTTTTAAAATATATTTTGGTATAACTTGTCTTCACCACATTGCTTTAGTGCTGCAATTTGTTAAAGATAGCAAATGTTGTATTCAAGCCAACTAGAATGAATCATTGCTGAGGGTAATGTTGTCCTCCCACATTATTCCCCTACTCCTTATAAACATCCTTTCAGTTTTGAGTTTGGAGACATAAATCAAGCTTGAAAATCCATTTCCACTTCCAAAGTTATACTGAGTGAAACTGGGAGATGCAGCCTCGAATATCTCTTGCAGGACTTCCAACAGTTTGGTGCAGTCTCTTTACCGTTACTGTTGCAGATAATCACAAAAAGCTTTAGCAATGACTGCTGCTGACTTTGCAACAACTGCAATATATTTGGTGTTCCAACACAAAATTTAGAACAAAGGGACTTTCATAGAAAAAGATCACCCCCTGTCTAAACTGAAATCTGTCTCATGTTAACTGCAATGATAGACTGAATCTGACTGCCTTAGTTTCTCATTGTCAGTTGGGCTTATTCCTGATCCCAATCTCTTTGGGTTTTTGAGATCTGACCAGCAGGAGACAGCACAGGGAGTTCCTTCCAATTAAGATGCAGACAGGAAAGCACTGTCTGTTCTGCCAAGGGAAGTGGGGAAGAGTGGGGAATTGTTGGAGCAGTGCAGCTGCTCCAACATTCCATGCATGGCGATCAGTTGTCAATGTGCATTGCAGCACTGATTCGGGATCCAGAAGTCACAGCGCCAGTGGCCCAGGTTCGATCCCAGCCTCAGGTAACTGTCTGTGTGGAGTTTGCACATTCTCCCCGTGTGTGTGTGGGTTTCCTCCGGGTGCTCCAGTTTCCTTCCACTGTCCAAAGATGTGCAGGTTAGGTGGATTGACCATGCTAAATTGTCCATAGTGTCCAGGGATGTGCAGGCCAGGTGGATTAGCCATGGGAAATGCAGAGTAACAGGGATGGAGTTGGGGGAGGTGGGTCTGTGTGGAATGCTCTTCGGAGGCTCGGTGTAGACTTGATGGGCTGAATGTTCCAGTGATCCTTCCTTAGAACTTTGTTTTGGTTTGTTTGTGTCTGTCTGCACATGTATCTAGGTGTTAGAAAGGGGGTGAGAGTTTTAACTAGTGAAGTCATATGTTGATACTTCATAGCTGCATATTTGAAATTAGAATTTATATATTTCTAATGAAGAGAAGTTTTGGTTAACTACAGGGACCTGGCCAGTGTTTTCCACTAACTTCAGACAGATAAACTAGGACTTTGTATCTTCATTTCAGTCATTAACTTTGTGGTGATCACAAGGGTAGTGGAGATTAGAATCAGTGCATTTTCCCAACTGGGTTCGAACAGAAGTGAAAATAAAAGTGGGGAAGGTTCAGCAGAACATCTGCACAACACTTGAATGAGAGAAATTCCAAGCCTATTCAACTTGACATTCCCATTTTGCTGAGTAGCATTGCTATTGCAGAGTTCCATTACAGAATACACATCTTAATAATCATTTATTTCTTTCACAATCAGATATTCGTTAATCTATTTTTAAAGAATATAACCATTGGCTTCAGTTTAATCTCTAATCTTTCTGGCGGTTGCTCATTAATTTGCCTATCATTTCAAATGGGTTCTGCCACAAAGTTATGAAGAATCAACATATAATATTCTTCAACTTACAGTCGCTGTAAATGTTCAGGTTGCATTTCACCATGTGATTATCATTGACAGTAGCTTTGTATTGACTGGATACTTTCAGTTAATGATTGATAATCATTGCAACCTTCTTCTGCCTTCACTCTTATGAACAGACATCCAATGATCATGCAGCCATATTGCACATTTCCTGCACCTGAATGTGTTACTTAGTTTTAACTAATTAAATATCAGCTGGTATTCAACGTCATTTGGGTCAAATACCACTAAAATCCCAATTTGGGTCATTTAACTATGGAGTTTGAAATGTCAGTAGCAAATTTAAACAGCTATGATCCTGACTTTTCCTTCACCTTATTTTACATTAGCAAGGGATCCAGAAAGAATATTTGCACAACTCCACTAGTCATTGATTCCTCAATAACTAATTTTTTTACCATAACTATCATTTCTCTAATGCTAACCCACTTTTAGATCTAACTGGCTTAATTACTATTAAATCCACACATTGATATGTTCTTAAAAGACTTGGACGCAGCTTCATAATCACTAAATACATCATCCCCATTTAGATACTCCTCAACCATTAATTTAGCTTTCTCTTCAAAGGACTCTGTCAGATTTGTAAGTTGTGATTTATTATTTCTCTACAAATTTACCCATTATGGCCTCTGTGTTTCAGGTGAAAAATGACAGCGTTCAATAAAACACTCAATTATTTTCTCATGACTATCACTGATCTGACTGCTGTACAACTTTGGAAATTTTTATCTCACCCCTTTCTTTCAATATTGGTATTAAGTGTGCCTTAGGACCAATGTTACCTTGCAATTACAAACATGTTAGAAATGAAATAGATAACTTTTCAGGTCTGGTACAGGATATACACTTGGATATATACTTAGTTTAGTGTTTCTTTTTATAAACTGTCCTGCAGTGTGTCCTTGGCAATTTTCTCATTTTATTGCTAAAAGTATTACCTGAAATCTCACCTACTTCATTGAAAGAGGGAAAAAAGGCACAGGAAGGGGAGTGCAGGTAAATTTGAGTGTGACTATTTTGTCAGGGTTTCTAAGATGGCCAGTTGGGATTCCAAGTGCTCATTTGTTAGTTGGGGATATGGTGAAGCAAACATTGGTTATTAAGATTCTGATTAATTAAAACATTTAATGCTTAATTGACTCCTATCAGTAATGGTGATAGTGCAATTATAGGATTTTAAAAATCCATCTGGTTCACTGAGGTCCTTGAGGGAAGGAATCTGCCATCCTTGCATAGTGCCTCGCTACCTGACTCCAGACTGACATCAATGTGATTGACTTTTAAATTGTCTCTGGAACGGCCTAGCAATTCACTCAATTATATCAAACCGCTATGGAAAATCAGGACTGAGGGCATATCTACATCACGCAGGCTGGTGTGGTTCAAAAAGCACTTCCCGGCCACCTTCTCAAGGGCAATTAGGGATAGACAATAAATGCTGCCCACAGAAGTAACTCCTACAGCCTACGAAATAACATACCAAACAACTCTTGGGGTGTTGATAGCCCAGCGGTATTACTGCTTGACAATTTAATCCAGAGATGCAGGTAATGTTCTGGGGACTTGGGTTTGAATGCCACCACGGCAGATAGTGGAATTTGAATTCAATAAAAACCTGGAATTAAAAGTCTAATGGTGATCATGGTGATTGTCGGAAAAACCCATCTGGTTCACTAATGTCCTTTACAGATGCAAATCTGCCATCCTTGCCCAGTCTGTCCTAGATGTGACTCCAGACCTACAGTAACGTGGATGACTCTGAACTGCCCTCTGTGCAATTAGGTAATAATGCTAGAAGCCCACATCCTGCTGATGAGTAAAAAAATTCTTTGGAACTTATTGGCCAACTCAATTTGAGTGTAGAGACGACTAGCTTACGACTTCTGAAAATAACATGCTGAACACAGGAAGGGACTGCTGTAGCTTAGCAAGATGGAAAATATAATATTCGTCATGTTCTCACAATTTATATAACAGCAACATTATTCCATCAAAACAAAGGTTTTGTTTCACAGTAATATTGTTTAAGCATGTCATCAATGTAATGCTCAGTGGTATTCATTTACAAAAATATCAAATTATGATTTACCTGTGTTTTTATCACTGTCTCAGAGTGATCAGGCACATAGAAGTTTGATAGTGGAGACAGTTTTTCTGAAGCAACGAACTGAAACTTCTGAGAAATTTTAAAAGGTACTTCATCCAAATAAGTTGAGGATCCTCCTGTACAATAAAGTAGGTAAATTTAAAAATATGACCTTGCGCTGTAAACATATCTACCAGATATGCTTATGGTTTATTTTATGAAGCCATTATCACTATTTAAAGGTGTTACAGTCCCAGCTGATAATACTACCAGACAAGTCAGATCTCAGAAATCAAACCTGGCTTTCACAGATCATATGTTTTGTTTCTGTTTAACGTGGTAGTCCATCACTGAGACATGCATGAGGCTGCAGATTTTCTTTAACTTTTTCTTTAATTGGATTGAAATATATTACACAAAAGAAATAAATAAAAGCAGTGTTAGAAAGATCGTAAAACAAAGTTTCCACTTGCTTGCTAATATTTTCTGCTACATCAACTCAAATTCGGAGAAATTACATCTCATCACTCAACTCCTTACTGTTCTACACAATTGCCTCCTCAATTGCCTCCTAACTGTTTCTTTGCCATAAACTTGGGGAAAATTGAGAGTCTTTTCCTGTTATGGACCAGACCAGACCCCTCAAAATATTTTAAGAAGGTAGCTTAGACCCTAACTTTTTCTTAATTTAAAGGCAAATGTAAAGTGTCTGTTCCTGATGCAATGCGACTGGTCAAGCTACTCGATTTTAAGCAAAACACAATTTATTTAAACAGTATGGTTAAAATACAACCAAAGAAAGAAGAATTTAGAATAACTTAGCTCTATTGGAAAATTTAACAGAATAATAGACACAGTAACTATTACTAAGTAACTGTTCCACTATAGTAATATCCCATAAACACACCCCTTGGCAAAAAGGAAGATTCACACACAGATTCTTATATGTAGTTCTCCAATCCAGGAGGAAAAAACATCAAAAGAAATTCAGAGAGAGTAGCAGCTAGGAGACATTCACTGAAGCTTCCAACTCTTTTGAGAACCCAATAGCTTCTGCTTAAAGCTAAATCTAAAGACTAGAAAAATCCAGAATATCTAATCTGTGAAAGCTGGCCACAACTAGGCTGTTCCATTGTTCCAATTTACTGCTCCCCACTGGGTCAAATTATTTTGAAAGAACATTAATCTGATAATCCCTATTCAAACAACATGCAATATTTAACAAGTAATGTCAGCTTCCAAATATATCCGAGGAAAAATACTGATGTTAAATATAGTGCTAGCTTGGGTCATGGCTGACATTCTCACCTCTGTCAAAAAACTTTGGGATTCAAGCTCTGCT